CGCTGAGGCTGTAGACCCAGGACTGAGGCTGTGGACCCAGGACTGAAGCTGTGGACCCAGGACTGAAGCTCTGGACCCAGGACTGAGGCTGTAGACCCAGGACTGAGGCTGTAGGCACAGGACTGAGCCTCTACACCCATGACTGAGGCTTTAGACCCAGGATTGAGGCTGTGGACCCAGGACTAAAGTTCTGGACCCAGGACTGAGGCTGTAGACCCAGGACTGAATCTCTGGACCCAGGACTGAGGCTGTAGACCCAGGCTGAGGCTGTATCCCAGGACTGAGCCTGTAGACCCAGGACTGAGGCTCTAGACCCAGGACTGAGGCTGTAGACCCAGGACTGAGGCTGTAGACACAGGACTGAGCCTCTACACCCAGGACTGAGGCTTTAGACCCAGGATTGAGGCTGTGGACCCAGGACTAAAGCTCTGGACCCAGGACTGAGGCTGTAGACCCAGGACTGAGGCTATAGACCCAGGGCTGAGGTTGTAGACCCAGGACTGAGGTTTTAGACCCAGGACTGAGGCTGTAGACCCAGGACTGAGGCTGTAGATCCAGGACTGAGGCTGTATCCCAGGACTGAGCCTGTAGACCCAGGACTGAGCCTGTAGACCCAGGACTGAGGCTCTAGACCCAGGGCTGAGGCTGTAGACCCAGGACTGAGGCTGTGGACCCAGGACTGAAGCTGTGGACCCAGGACTGAGGCTGTGGACCAAGGACTGAAGCTCTGGACCCAGGACTGAGGCTGTAGACACAGGACTGAGCCTCTACACCCAGGACTGAGGCTTTAGACCCATGATTGAGGCTGTGGACCCAGGACTGAAGCTCTGGACCCAGGACTGAGGCTGTAGACCCCGGACTGAGGCTGTAGACCCAGGACTGAGGCTATAGACCCAGGGCTGAGGCTGTAGACCCAGGACTGAGGTTTAAGACCCAGGGCTGAGGCAGTAGACCCAGGACTGAGGCTATAGACCCAGGACTGAGGCTATAGACCCAGGGCTGAGGCTGTAGACCCAGGACTGAGGCTCTAGACCCAGGACTGAGGCTGTAGACCCAGGACTGAGGCTGTAGACCCAGGACTGAGGCTGTAGACCCAGGACTGAGGCTCTAGACCCAGGACTGAGGCTGTAGACCCAGGACTGAGGCTGTAGACACAGGACTGAGCCTCTACACCCAGGACTGAGGCTTTAGACCCATGATTGAGGCTTTGGACCCAGGACTGAAGCTCTGGACCCAGGACTGAGGCTGTAGACCCCGGACTGAGGCTGTAGACCCAGGACTGAGGCTATAGACCCAGGGCTGAGGCTGTAGACCCAGGACTGAGGTTTAAGACCCAGGGCTGAGGCTGTAGACCCAGGACTGAGGCTATAGACCCAGGACTGAGGCTATAGACCCAGGGCTTAGGCTGTAGACCCAGGACTGAGGCTCTAGACCCAGGACTGAGGCTGTAGACCCAGGACTGAGGCTCTAGACCCAGGACTGAGGCTGTAGACCCAGGGCTGAGGCTGTAGACCCAGGACTGAGGCTGTGGACCCAGGACTGAAGCTGTGGACCCAGGACTGAAGCTCTGGACCCAGGACTGAGGCTGTAGACCCAAAACTGAGGCTGTAGACCCAGGACTGAGGCTGTAGACCCAGGACTGAGGCTGTAGACCCAGGACTGAGGCTGTAGACCCAAAACTGAGGCTGTAGACCCAGGACTGTGGCTGCACATAGCCCCCCTGGAGGCCTTCCCCACACCTAACCTTAACCCCCATGGAGGTCCAGGCCCTCCCCACACCTAACCTTAACCCCCATGGAGGTCCAGGCCCTCCTACACCTAACCTTAACCCCCATGGAGATCCAGGCCGCCCCCACACCTGCACATAGCCCCCCTGGAGGTCCAGGCCTTCCCCCCACCTAACCTTAACCCCCATGGAGGTCCAGGCCCTCCCCACACCTAACCTTAACCCCCATGGAGATCCAGGCCGCCCCCCACGCCTGCACATAGCCCCCCTTGAGGTCCAGGCCCTCCCCACACCTAACCTTAACCCCCATGGAGATCCAGGCCGCCCCCACGCCTGCACATAGCCCCCCTGGAGGTCCAGGCCTTCCCCACACCTAACCTTAACCCCCATGGAGGTCCAGGCCCTACCCACACACTAACCTTAACCCCCATGGAGGTCCAGGCCCTCCCCACACCTAACCTTAACCCCCATGGAGATCCAGGCCGCCCCCACGCCTGCACATAGACCCCCATGGAGATCCAGGCCGCCCCCACGCCTGCACATGGCCCCCCTGGAGATCCAGGCCTTCCCCACACCTAACCTTAACCCCCATGGAGGTCCAGGCCCTCCCCAAACCTAACCTTAACCCCCATGGATATCCAGGCCGCCCCCACTTCTGCACATAGCCCCCCTGGAGGTCCAGGCCTTCCCCACACCTAACCTTAACCCCCATGGAGGTCCAGCCCCCCCCCACACCCCCATAACCTGTGACTTTTGTGGTTATCTTTGTCCATACAGCAGCAGTCCGGTGACTTTTAAAAAAATCCCTTCATTAGTCCAGGAGATGTCTCCGGTTTGTATTGATGTCCCAACCTTTCATGGGATATCAATACAGCAGCAGTCTTTTAAAAAATGTCCAGAATGGTCCCAACCATGACAGGTCGTGAATCACACACCCCACACAAAACCAGGGTATGGGGTGCCACAACGATGTGGGCTTAGATGTTCATTGTTATGGAGTGTCCTTGTATTGATAATCCCAACGGTTATTGCAACAGGTGTGTGTGGATGAGTGTGGGAGTGGACGGACTGCAACAGCCTCCTACCCTGACCGCAGGAGGATGGTTGGTTGACAGGTTCTTCTGGGTCTAGCTCGCCATCGACTTCAGGGGTGGTGTCTTACCCAGACACAAAAATGGCCTGCATTAAAACAACAGGACTATGTTTTAAACAAAATCATTCAGTAGCTAGCTCATAATTTAGCACAGTGTACACATGATCAAAACACATTAAATGGCATTAGGAAATAAGTTTCCTCATCATTAGGCAATGTTATAAATAACATACAGTCTCAAAGTGCATAGCATTCAATGTAGACAGTAACACAACTACAACAATATATGACACTCAAAATACTCAATAAGGATATAAAGTCAGGTTATCCGATTCATGAAACATCATGGTCCATATTAACAATACACTAGTGCATCAAAATGACAATGCTACATCTGGTTGGCTACCACAGATGCTAAGTAGTAAACCACAGCTTCAAAACTCACCAATTCCCCCTTTATAAGGAGCATTGCCCCAACGGTTGTTTGCGAATGTGAAGCCAGATGGTGGGGGCTCCCTACAAAAAGCAATTACATGAATGTCTGGGCCTATGGATGCCTACATTTATAAGCAAGATACTTAGCATTTGAAGTTTCGCTTGAAGTTTACCTGTGCAGCTGTCCGGTTGCGTCTCCCTCCCGTGTGTGACAGGGAGAAGCGCAAGCGGCTTGTATCACGCGCTACGCCACATTGTGATTGGGCTGAGGCAAGTTCTCGCGATAGGGAACAGGGAGCGCCAGAGAATTAATATATTACAAAGTTGTTATTTTTTACACAGAAACCCATTTTTAATGGTGGGTGACATCCTCATTAAAATTGATTTCCTGGAATGTTAGAGGCTTGGGCTCTCTCAGGAAAACAGAGATAAAAATACGTACCGAAAGATTTCCAAAAACTTGCCGATATCTGCCTGCTACAAGGAAACTCACCTTTCCCCCTTGATTGCATCCAAACCTGATTCACATAGCCAATTTCCACCAAACCATTCTCTGCCTGTTACAAACACCAAAACAAAGAGGGGTCTCTTATCTTATAAAAAAAACACCTCATCTTCACACCTGAATTCCACCATGTCTGGACCCAGAAGGGACGTTTTATTATTATTAGTAATATATCCATTAACAATAAACCCTTAACAATATGCAACATATATGGACACAACACAGACCAATCCAGACTTCTTCCGTCAATCTTCACAAATTCTAACTAACAAATCAGTTTGATATACCTTACATCATAGGAGGGAGATTTCAATACCACTATTTGCTTTCAATCGACAGGAGCCCAATTCCGACCCGCTATCCACCAATCCTCAAATGTATAAACCAGTTCATGAAGGATCTTGGTCTGGCAGTTGGGGCTGGAGGCTCCAACCACCCATCTTACACGAGAATACACATTCTACTCTCTGTCCATAAATCATATTCTAGAATAGGAATACTTCCTTTTCGCAAAATCACTTTGGCGAATATCTGAACAAAAATCCCACTTCCATTATAATCAGTGACCACTGCTGTTAAATTTGTCAGAATTCCCTGCCAGAAGCTGCCAGACAGGCCGCAACAGCTCCGTTTCGTTCTGAGTCCTTTTGTTCAACAAGAGGACAAAACCAATGTGAAAAACAGTTAATAGAAATGACAGATACCAAACCTGATTTCAAAAGGTTATATTGAAGATTTGCAAGCAATATTACAAGATAACGGTCTGCGAACAGCGTCTCGCTTCGCGTTCAAGATATGGAGTGGCCCCGGGACGTCTCTCTGCTCCTGAGTCAGAAGAAAAAGAAAAAGCCCCGTGACCACTCCTGCACATCATTAATACTTTACATCCAAGGTCAATGACATCACAACTGTATGGACCCTATGACTCCTTCTGGCCAGCTGCCAACGCTTGCACCTGCTCTGATAACACAGTTGTTCTCTCTGTCCCCCTTCTCACCGGACTAACATTGACTCACTGCTCTTTGAGATTTACACAAACAAGTGCTATACTAGGCATCTAGAAACAATACTTAAACTAGATTTTTAGTTTTAAACTGGTGCAGCGAGTTATTATATTCCAACAGTCCCCCTGTTGGCCGGAGCGGAACTCTTCGGACATCCATCACTCTCGTCTCAGATGGCCCATCTTCATCAGTTGATCCAGCATTTACATCTCTATACTCAGCTCTAAACCCAGTTCTTCACGTACTGATCTGTTGACACCCCCCCCCCCACACCCCCCCCCCCCCATCTTCACCCCCCCCCCATCCCACCCCCCCCCCCCGCCCCCCCCCGCTTTGCCCCGGGGGGTGGGGCCTTTCCCCCGCCCCCCCCCCGCCGATCCCGGCCCCCCCCGCGGTACCAATCCCCCAATACCCCCCCCTGTCCCTCCACATCTTTCCCGCGTCCCCCCCGCGCGCCCCCCCTCCATTGTTCCCCCCCCACCCCCCCCCCCCCCCCCCCCCCCCCCCCCCCCCCTCCCCCCCCCCCCCCCCCCCGCCCCCCCCCCCCCCGCCCCCCCCCCCCCCCCCCCCCCCCCCCCCCCCCCGCCCCCCCCCCCCCCCGCCCCTCCCCCGCCCCCCCCCCCCCCCCCCCCCCCCCCCCGCCCCCACCCCCCCCCCCCCCCCCCCCCCACCCCCCCCCACAACAAAATGAGAAGAGCGGCAAACTGAGCATCCAACTCACCCTAAACTACATACATTGAAGTGATCCTATAAAACATTCTATATGTGGGTGTGCTGCGGTGTCTAGTCTGTGTAACAAAAACAATAGTTGCAAGAGCTGTGGAGAAAGAATATGTTTGTGTCGTGCATCAATTTGAATTATGTAATTTTTATTTTAATTTTAATTTTTATAATTTTTTATCGCATCCCCGATTTTCCCAAGTCCCTCTTACAATTTTGCAAGGTTATGTGCGTTATTTACATGCAAGCAGTTATACATTTTTGATTAAAATATTTTGATAATATCATAAAGCATACTCACAACTCCTCTGGTGATATTCTGACAATATCACAGACCATACTCACCCGTTCTTCTGATGATTGTCCTTTATGGCTTAGGCTATGGTCATCAATTCTTCTGGTTCCCACTGTAGGTCTGGGTTAGTAGCAGTTGTCTTTCTGCCACTTCCCTTCCACAGCGGCTGTTATCACTTGTTACATAAGGATATGCACGGAATACAACAGCATCCACATAGCGTCAGGATTTCTGAAATAAGCCACCGATAGCAGAGTTGATGCTATCAGTGCCTAATCTGCCAAACACATCAACCACCCATCCCACATTGATTGGTCTACTCCTGAATGTGCCTTCATTTCTTGGATCGCGCCTTCAGTCCCTGAAGGGCCTTGTTAATTTTCCATTGGGGCAGTATTATTTGGGATAAACTTTACAACACGTAGGGCCATTCAATGAACAGGCTCCGCCTTCTTTGGCTAAAATCATGTCAACAGCAAGTCTGTTCTGGAAGGTCATTAAGGATGTGGCTGATAATTGTTCATGAATTGCCTCAAATCCATCATATGTATAATTGCTTAGCCTCAGTATGTTGTAATGTAAGTAGTTGATCCGATCGACGTTCTTATTTGGGGTTACTGGAATAAATTGCGGAGATTATTGGGATGTTTTCAAATCCTGATGCAATTTCATCAACCAATTTGTATTCATTTGGAATTCCCCTAGGAATACCTATTGCATCAATATAAACTGGACTTCCCTCCTCTGGTCTAGCCAGTGCCCTTCTTGATCTGGTTTTTACACTAATGATTTGTTTCAAAATCTCTGGCTTCTCTAGATCCACTGGGAGCTATTTCAATTGGTATAAGTAATGAGATCAACACACACATGCCATCCCACAGAGGGTGTAGATATCCCCTTAAAGACTTGCCACCACAAGTACCACCACAAATCTGCTCTGGCTACTGTCAACTTGTGTCCATTTAATTTTTCTGTGAAATCCTCATTTACCTAATGCTAAGGATCTATTTACATGTCTACTTCCCTTTTTTCTCCACTAAGGACCTTCCTAAGGAAGCAAGGTGTTTTCACCTTTTACTTGTGTATATTAATAATTGGTTGCTCGGCTGTCGCATTTGTGGCAGTTACACGGCTTATTTTATCATATAGTGAACAGTTAGGGTATAGTTTATCTTCTCATCATTAATCTATACTAAACATGTATGATGGTCCCTATCTGAATACGTCGGTACTGCCTGTAACATAGGCCCTTGGTCCATACAAGCAATACATTTGACTTAGTTGTGTAGCTTTGGCAGCGTGCTCAATCAATAATTAGCCAAAATTATTTTTGGTAGTGTTGTTTCCTGTCGCCCATTCTGAAAACATCATCTGCTCTATGGGTTGCCAGTGCTTTTTTTTCGGTGTGTAAGAGTGTTGCAATTATATACCCTTTACTAGATTTTGTGTTACCTACATGTCCTTACGGTTAAGCCCCCTTCTCTTGTGACACTGACTGGATTCTTCACATATAGTAATTAATGCCAAGGGTCTTCTCCTGGCACATATGCCCATACCAGAAATCCCCAACAAAACATAGAGGTTTCTTCCTGATCTGTCTCTTGGGTCCAATGACTCACCTCTCAGTCCACTGTAATTGTAAGACATGGTACACTTCCTGCATAATCCCCTTTGTCATGGAAATTATTTTAGAATGGTGTCTTGCAAACTCTGTAGTTGGTGTGGTGTCCAATCTAATCCAGTATATGCCACCATTGTCCCCCATGATTTATCTCTCATGTCATTTGTCATGTACCATTCATAATCTGAATTTTCTGCTCCCACTTTTTTCCCTTTGTTTACTAATGCTATAAAAGGTACCTGGAATGCCATATGTTCTCCTTTGCCAAACACAATTGCACACCAAATAGGTATTGTCGCTTTTTTGCACATCGATAGCGGTCACAGTATATAGCGATAGCGGTCACAGCATATAGCGATAGCGGTCACAGTGTTAGTATTAGATAGCAATATGGCCTACGTGCAGGACTGTACAAGGACTCTACAAGGACTCCATGTTATGACTATGATGTGACTGTCTCTTTGTGACACGTATGTCTTTCGATGTGTGACGTGACAATGACTATATAAACTGTGTACTGCCTTTATTCTGTCTGGGAGAAAGAAACGGAGGAAACCAGTGGAACTTGAGAGAAACTTAAATAAACTTCCAGAGTTTGGCACACCACGATCCGTCTCTCTCTGCCTAATCCTAACAGATTTGGTGGAGAATGCGCGGCTCCGTGTGTGCCATTCTCTGGATTGTTTTGAGGGAGTTTTCTCTGTTTCTTTTTTTCGGCGTGTGGGAGCGACAGCACGTTATATGGAAGGGGAGAAATCCCAGCGGACGCTGAAAGGGCTCGCTTTTGGATGGGCTTGCTCTTGCTCCCTCACTTTCTCTGTTTTGTGTTTAAATTGAATTTTTCGACGCGGAAAAGATGTTGGTCGACCTCTCGAACAGTCCGGACAAAGAAAATAAGGTAAGCAGACACCTTTTTTAATATGTAAAGTCTGCATAATTGGATACTAGCAAAATTTTGAGCTGTCCCGGAGGTCTGTCCAAATATCTCTAAATCAAATTTTCTTTGTTATGTCTTTGTCACGTCTTTGTCATGTCTTATGTTGTAGAAAACAGGTTAGCTGTGTGGGTAACCAGTCCCTATAGGAAAAAGGAACCCCTGACGTATCGGGGTCCCTGTCCTTTGAAGTAGTCAGGACAGAGAGAGAAAGGGTTAATCTCAATTCTCTTTTCTACCCCTACCCCTTCCCCTTCCCCTTGCCCTCGCCCTTCCCCTACGGCACAACGAAATGGGACACCCCTCGCTCCGTCTCATTATTATGACGTAATCCCTTACGCGCCTCTAAAACAGTGGAGTTGCGGATGTTGTTCATTCATTTCTTTACTTTTCCAGTGTAGACATGCCGTCTGAAGCTCAACTTGCAGCAGTTGCTTGTTTGCTTTGTTTGTTTTTTCGCCTCACCACGTCAAGGCGAAGAAATGTTCGGAGACGTGGATTTCTACGCCGACTCGCAGTTATGTCTGAGAATTACGTGGTATGTATTGTGTTTGTGTATTGACCGTGTACGCTGATCTTAAAACTATTCACTCTTATTTACTAAAGAGTGAGTTCAAATACATTAGGAGATAAAACACGTTGAATGGTGTTATGTGTGTTGTAAACAGTCAAGTATTTTCTGACCACACAACTGTAAGATAATATTGTTTTACAGTTATGTGTGGAGGTTTCCTGTAACTGGGGGGAGGGGGAGTACCTGTGTGTGAGTTGGGGGAGGATTGTACTTGCATTTTTGTGTTATATAGGCCTATATCTAAAAGTGACTACAAATTTATGTATTTTATGTATGTACCTTTGCAGAGAGGACAACCAGCAAGATATTGCCAGCTTAAGAACGATGTCCCCATTTTGAGGCTCTGGTTCAATGTAGAGCGGGAGCTGAAGCAAGATTTTCGTCTCACTAGACGAGCGATGAACAATCTGCAGAGACTCCTGCAAAGAGACCAGGACCATGGCTGGGGACACCAACTGGAAGTACTGATCTATACATACTGGTTGGCTCACGGTTTGTCCTACCGCGTCGTCTCCAGTGTTTTCAATGTGCCTAAAGCAACTGTTCATAGGGTGGTGCACAGGGTGGCAAACTTCAATCAGTTTCCCTAAACCAGATGAGCTTGAAGAAATAGGACAAGGATTTGCCAGGATATCCGGAAGTCCTGCCTTCAGCTGTGTTGCTGGTGCAATCGATGGTTCCCATATTAGAATCAAGCCCCCACACCGGCACCACATGGACTATTTAAATTACAAGGGGTTCCATTCTATAAACATGATGGCAATCTGTGATGCAACTGGCCGTTTCCTGGACATATTTGTTGCATACCCGGGCTCTGTGCATGACACCAGAGTGATGAAAAATAGCACCTTTTACAGAGCCCAAAGATATCCCCCTCCAGGATACATTCTTCTTGGGGACGGAGGCTACCCCTGTTTTGAGACTCCCATTACACTAATCACGCCATACAAGGAGCCTGTACATGACAATGCTGAAAGACGTTTTAACTTTCATCATTCTAAGGCACGGAGCATAATAGAAAGAGCCTTTGGAGTGATGAAGACGAGGTGGAGGTCCACACTTTTTAGAGCTCTGGAGGTGAAGCCTACATTTGTGCCGCTGGTTGTATCCACGTGTGCCTTCCTTCATAATGTTTGCCTGGCTAATGGGGACCAGCTAGAGCCGGACAATGACATTTTAGCAGATGCATTTGACCCTCAGCCTCCACAGGAACGTCTCCTCCATAATGAAACCCCTGGCAACGCTACAAGAGACAGGCTGGCTGCCATTTTGGGCAATGCACAGTGATACTATTTTAGAGTTTGTACATAGTTGATGTGTATAACAATTTTATATTTTTGCGACCTTGTGCTGTGCAATATATACCGTTTGAAAAAAACTTGTGTGAAATAAAAACTTTAAAAAGATTTTAGAAAATATTTTGTTTACTTTATCAAAAAGTATTGTGTAAACACTTGAATGAACATTAGAGCAAAAATAAAAATAACAGGCTGTGCAAATCTAAAAAAAACAGTCTGAGGTAGAATTACAATTTAAAATAAATAAAAACATTCAAAATCAAACCTTGAAGTCTAACAAGTGCACAAATGTAAACAATTGTCCTTTTTACATTTTGTCCACCAGCTGCTGAAACAGCCCGAGTAATCTTTCTGACTTTTCCTCGCTCTCCTCATGCCTCTTCTGCTCTTTTGTAGATTCTTCTTTTAAAAACTCTACAATTGCACTTGATTTCCTTTTTCTTTTACGGGGAGAGGGAGATGCAGCAGGAGGAGCTGGAGGTGGAGCAGATGATGCTGTGGGTTGGGACTCATCCTGATTTGCAGTAGATGAGGATGGTGCAGCTGCAGAGGTGCTGGGCTCCTCAATTTCCTAGAAAAATATGCAACATATTATTGGTAACATCATTACAAAATACTACTGCATTTATAATAAATTACCAGCACTATGGTTGTGTTGTCATCCTCCAGGAATGAGGCCACAACAACAGGAGGATCCACCGATGGTCTGGAGCCCAGCACCTCATGCATATCCTCAAAGTATTGCCAATCAGCAGCAGTTTTCTCCCCCTCCTCAGTACCTCCTTTGCCTGTTTTCAGGAGTTTTAACTCCTGGCACACACACAAAAATAATGCCATAAACTTTAATATTACGTTGTGTCTTCATAGAGTATGTAGAGGTATTGTATTTCTTACCTTATATTTCCTTTTTAAGTTTTCCCACTTTTTGGAAGCCTTATCTGGACGAACTATCCCCTCCAGCCCGTTCTCCTTTAAAAAGATCCTAAACAAAAGTAACCAATGATAAATGTCATGCAATTAATTTATTATTACTGTGAAATACATGCATAAAATAACGTACTCCCATTGTTTTTTGGCGCTATATCTGGACTTTAAAAACTTCTCCTCGTTTTCAGCTCTGAAACGTATGAGTTTCCGCGTGAGCTCAGGGGACCCTGTTGAAAAGACACACGTATTAAAAGCTCACGATACAACAGAAATGAGAATGATAACGCTATAATCGTAGTTATATTAGTTTATATGACAAGTTTCGTTATGCTCCGAGTCCGTAACAACAACAGCGCGATTGACATGCGTCTGACAAGCTACATTCTGCCGTAATATGTACATTTCAAACTTATCATCAAAACAAAACACGTTCTTATAGTTTATTTAACGTTAAAATTAGCAAAACATGCTTACATTTGTACGAGTCGGTCGGCGCCATGTTTTCTTGGTGCGGGTCAGCACGAAACTCCTCCTACCCCTTCGTCTGAAGTGTGCATCTGAAAAACCCTCGCTGGAAGGGCTATGTGGCCCTCTCCCTCACCCCTACCCCTCACCGCTAAATAGAATTGGGACAGCCCTTCGTCTCTCGTGAACGCGCACAACGAAGGGAAAGGGCTAAGCGGAGGGCTAAGGGGGAGAATTGAGATTGGGCCAAAGGAACCCCTGACGTATCGGGGTCCCTGTCCTTTGAAGTAGTCAGGACAGAGAGAAAAAGGAACCCCTGACGTATCGGGGTCCCTGTCCTTTGAAGTAGTCAGGACAGAGAGAAAAATGAACCCCTGACGTATCGGGGTCCCTGTCCTTTGAAGTAGTCAGGACAGAGAGAAAAAGGAACCCCTGACGTATCGGGGTCCCTGCCTTTGGAGTAGCCGGGGCAGAGAGAAAAAGGAACCCCTGACGTATCGGGGTCCCTGCCTTTGGAGTAGCCGGGGCAGAGAATAGAGAATAGAAAATAGTTAGTGAAACCATGGTGTAAAATTTAAAGTTATAATAAAAAGGGAAACGTTAAACACTAAAGAGTGCCTTTTGTTACTAGTGTGGAAAGTGCCCATTTCTAGACTTGGATGACAAAAGTTTAAAGAACAACATCAGTTATATTCGCTTTAAAAAGTAATCTTGAAAGTTATTCTTCTTTCTGTTTTTGCATTTTTGCTAAAACACTACTTTCTGCTTGTGTGTGTGTGCGCCGCTCTATCTTGCTGCCGTTGTCAGGGAAACGGCCCCCTCCTTCGCTACTCTGGCTCTGAATCAAAACAAACCTGCTTTTAGGATTTTGGCTTTTATTAAGTTTTTAAATTTGCTAAATTTGCAATTGAACATTGTGTTAGACACAGTTAAACGTTTTTAAACACCATTAGTGAATAGAAGTTTTGAATTAGTATGTTTTTTGAAACCCAAATATTAGTGCTAAAGCTGTGCAATTCTTTTTAGACCTAACATATTTCTAGATTCCATTCTTTTAAATCTGCTGCTTATTTTGTGAGTCCATTATTGTATCTGATATTTCATAGCTGTTAGTGAGAATCTTTTCATGTATTTTTTATTTTAGTTACAAAAGCCGTTTTTCAAACATTTAAATTAGAATCTGTGTTAAAAGTGCTTATTGATTATAGACTTCGTCTAAAAAGAAAGAGGGAATTAGGCTGTAAAAGTATTATATTATTAAGTTAAACTACCCAATTCACATTCAAGTGGCGACTTTTTGTTTTTGTTTTGACTACACGCCTGACCACACTGCTGCTGATGCCACAGCAGAGGAGACTGGTCTAAAATGTGCTCCAATTCATACTGACTTCATTTGAAAAATGCTGCAATTATTTTGAATTAGTAAAATATATGCTGAGATAAATGCATAGATAATTAAAAACACAGTACAAAAGTACACATATTTTAAAGTTTAAAAAGGTTTTTTGAGATTTGAGTCTTGTTTTTTTATATTAAGAGTTTCTGGTGTTAAAAATGTCATCATTAGTAAGATAATAAGTAATCTTTTATTTACATAGCGCTTGGGAAAACCCAGAGCGCTCCAAAATTGTTTTGACTTCAGAGAGAAAAACAATGTCATTCGCATACTGATATCTATTGTTTTTTTAAATTGGCCGTCTCAAGGATTGTTTTTCAGACTCTGCCTCACTGTACGAGAGGTCACTGCTGGACACTGGACAGCGCAAAGCCCACCCAGCCACAGGTCACAGATCAAAGAGCAAAGGGAAATGCCACCTCCTTGCCCCTCCCCCCACTACAGAAGTAAGTGGGAGTGAGACCGGGGCCATGAAAGAGAGGTATCTGGAGACGTGATGGGTGGAGCGTCAGGTAGAGACCTAGAGGCAGTTGAAAGTGTGTCCAGTTGGTTTGCATCACCGCGGTGTGACCTTTGAGACCTACAGGTGGTTCGAGGAGTCTGGAGACACAACCCCAAAATTCACATACACACACACACACACATACACACACATACACTCACACATTCACATTTACATATAGATACATGAAAAAAGCAGAACATGAGAAAAAAGCATTTTAAAAGTTTACTCCAATGTAAACAAATATTTTTAATTGTCTATCACTTGAATCAGTATTTTTTGAGACCAGAAATGTTCATTTGAATTCTATATTGTCATGGACTAATTGACCTCTGTCCTGACACTTTTGATTTGTTGATTTTGTACTGTGTGAAGTAATTACATTGATTAGAATTAGATCTGATAAAAACACAAATTAGAGAAGTAAACTGCGCTTGCTTTTGTCTGAGGGACAGAAGCAACAGCATGAATAGAAATTGTGTTAAAGTAGAATCAAAATGACTTAACCATAGAGAGTAACTACTGCATTACAAGCTGTGTACAGGAACTGAGACACTGCACCATTGACCAGAAGTGCATCGCAAATGACCTGATGTGCTTCAACTGAAAAGACTGTATCTGGAGATCCTGATGTGCATCTGGAGAGACCAAAACCATGGCTTGGACCCTACTGATGACCAAGATGACATCTCTCTATGACCTGACCTGATGACGACTGAGACTCACCCTCAGGGGACCCTGAGGACCTGAGGATCTGAGAGAGAAAACTGGGGAGTGATGTTTATATTTTTGAAATCATACATTGATGAGTGCTAAATGAGAGAGATACTCATGATTCTTTCTTTTGTTTTTGTTTGTCCCTAGCTTCTGGACATCTGATGATCTATTGGACAAGAACCAGCCAATGAAAAAACATCTATTGCCGATGATATTGCTACAACCAGAAACTGTGACCAAATGCAATATACATGTTAAGTATTCAGACATCTGACAGACAAAAACTTTGACTTTTTTGTCTGGGAGACTGAGCAACTGTTAAAATGTTTGAAAATGATAAAGTATGAGTATTGTAGCGTTTTATTAGATGTTAAATAGTAGTAAAAAAGTAGAATTGTCCTTCCTTTGTTGTTCATAAACATATTTCCACGTAAGAGTTAAAATAGTACCATACAATGTTATCCTTTTGATAGATCAGATAAAATATTAGAATCAGAATAATGTTACAGCCATTAAAAGTGACAGAAGTCACAAATTAGGAATATGCCTTTGCTCAAGCTGCAGCCGAGCTTTGGAGTTAAAAAATAGAGTAAAAATAGGAATAGAGAAATGCATCAACCATAGATGCTTTCAAAAATAGAGATTATTTCTAGCCAGTGCTAATATCAAATGGTAAAGGGACCATTTCACAAACATTTACTTCAAAAGTAGATAAAGTTAATTACAGTTTATGTACAGTTTTATTAGATACTTGCCAAATTCACTTGTTTTCAAACATCTGTGAATGTTGACAATACAAAAAGTTCATGAAAGTAGCTTAGATCAATGAGATAGATTAGCACCAACAGAGATTCAAAAGCATTTAAAAGCATTTTGATGTATTTGTGTATAGCCCAAAAACACAATAGTAGATATTTAGATATTGAGAAGTTTCCAGCACAAACACCATTGTAGAATAACTGACCCCAAACCTGCTAAAACAGATTAGCTCTTGTAAGGATAGTTCCAATTTGATTAAAGATGTACATTCATCCCAAACTGATAATGAGAGTATAATACCACAGAGAGATTTATTAGATTAAAATGTATGTTTAAGAATATGGCTCAATAGAAGCAAATATGCAAACATATTTGTAAATAGATTAGAATAGTTTTAAACTATAGTGAATAGTAAAAGTAAAGTACACAGTCTAAGATTAAAAAGTGAAAATAATACAGTGAAATAAGATTGAGTGTAGTGTAAACAATTAGCATTAGAATAAAAGTATAGAGTAATAAAAGTGAAATTAGCTTCTAATTTGAGACTCAGCTCGTTTTTGTCTGTGTTTTGACTGAATCTGCTGAGTTCTTGTGTGTCCAATAGTGTTTGTTTGTTTTTATTAGGCCCGAGCCCCAACCGGGGTAAGGGCCTATTGCTTTTCCAACGAGTAATGCCTGGGCGAAGCCCAGGCATTACTCGTTGAACTGTCATAAGTCACAATCTCCGGGCGCAGCCCGGAGATTGTGACCTGCACGCGACGGCACGTGCCCTGACACTGATAAATCCGTGCCGGAGGCACGGAATGGCTTTGTTCCTGCTGTAGTACACAGTGAAATGATTGAAGTCCTATTAAAGGGGGGTTCCTTCAACTGTCTTACGGACGAATGTCCGGGCGAAGCCCGGACATTCGTCCCCCAAGCCCGACGGCGCGTGCCCAGACACTGACAAAACAGTGCCGGAGGCACTGAATGGCTTTGCTCCTGCTCTAGTACACAGTGTAATCAATGGGGTCCTATGGGGGGGGTGGGTGACCTCATGATGGCGAGGTGATTGACGAGCGCGTCAGCGCTCGTCAATCACCGAGAACACAATAGTTGCGTTCGTCTGGTCGTTCGCTTTAAAACGATGTATCATTTGTATTATAGGTTACTATGGAAACCTATATTGTTTTTGCTCGAAGATTTAAAAAAAAAATTCCTTGGTTTATTTATTATTATTATTTCTTTTTTCTTCTGCGCTTTGAACCTTAATTTGACCCCCTGAACATTGATGAAAAGTTGTGAAATTTTGCCCAAAATTCAGAACCGGCGAAAAATTAATTTTTTTGGTGTTTATTTTTATGGGACTAAAAAAATTTCAGAATAGCGCCCCCTACAAAAGTCAGTTTACATTGCGCCTATGGGAGGGGGTCGAAGGTCAAGTTTGTCGTAGAGCCACGAAATTCGGTACACATGTTCCTCAGGTCAAGACATGAAAAAAAAGTTATTATGGCTCCGCCCCCTGACAAACAGGAAGCTCATTAATTTAATTGGAAAATGGAAAAATGAAAATTGATCTTTTTCACACATGTCGGCTGGAAATTATCTCCTCCTCGGCCGCTTCACCGATTTGTCTCAAAATCGCTCCACATGGTCTAAACCCATGTCCCATCTATTATTGAATATAGAATTTGGATCAGTTAAACGTTGTCCGAGCAGCGGAGCGGCAAAATGTGACATGTTTTTTCCAATTTTTGACAAAAGTAAATTTGCTCCCATTTGCACAAAAAAAGTCAGATTTGCACAAAATTTTTATCAATTGTTCAGCTCCAGGGTCTAGGTCATTGGAAAGTGGAAATATTGAAATTGGCTCATCAGCGCCCCCTAGAGACTATGTAAAAAATTTACATGGGCCTAATAAAATTTAGTTTTTTCAAAATGTTTGAAATTTTAAACATAATTCTGTTTTGTCATCTGGATTCAAAAAGTCAATGACATCATATGGTTATTTTTTACCCTGTTGCCGTGGTGATGACCAACACTCCCCTGTCTGTGTCTATGAGAAAATCGTTAAATCTCTGAAAAGTACACCTCGCGCAAACATCAAACCAGCCTCGGCCCTTTCACTAATTTGGCTGAAAATTGCTCCACATGGTCTCCACACATGGACCATCAATAGTTGCATATAGAAATTTAATTAGTCAAACGGTCTGAGCGTGACAGACCCCCAAAGTGTGGTCATTTTCATAGAGAGGTGTGAAAATCTCATGTTATCAAATGGAGACTGTATGGACACACTCACAGATTGTATGTGCAAACAGGAGCACATTTACAAACTCTGATTTGCAATAAACTTGACTCTATTGTTCAACTCCTGGGCCTAGGTCATATGACAGTGGGAACAATGACATTGGCCCATTATCGCCCCCTAGAGGCTGAGTAAATGTTTACATAGGGATACAGGTATTTAGGTTATGTGTTGTTTGATCTCATATTTGACCCACATAACAAACATAAAAAATCACCAAACTTTGCCACAAGTTTTTTTCAGGCATAAACTGTATTATTTTGGTGTTCTTTGGGATAACACAAAAAAATTACATTGTAGGGGGCGCTCTTGTACAACATTAAATGCCACCATTTTCACATACAAAGTCCGATTTGCACAAAATTTGAATTGATTGTTCAACTCTCGGGTTTGGGTAAACTGAAAGTGTTAAAGACGAAATTGCAGCAATAGCGCCCCCTACAGAGTGATACAAGTGTTACATGGAGAGACTGGGGTTTACCTTTTCAATAGAGACTCACAATCACTGATCATAGGAATTCAAAATGCACAGTGTCGCTACCATCAGGGAAGTGCAAAAATGGCGCGTCAGCGCCACCTGCTTTGCTCTGTGCGGCGAGGGCCGTTAGATGCCGCTTTAGCCCATTTCACCTCTTCAACTACCTCACACTGCAAAGAGTTTGCTCAAAGAGAATATGCTGTTAAAGTAAAGTACTGTTATAACTAAAAATTATTTAAAATAATGGACACCAGTAAGGTAGGGGCAGGAAACACTTAGGACCATGGCCACATCTCTGATGGTTCCCCCCCTTTTTTTTTATTATTTTTATTCCTTCTCCGTTATCCATTTCAAATGAATGGCACTTCCTGCTTTGAAGCAACATCCCATTGTGCTTGTGCTGTGTTGTAGTGTGTACAAATAACACTTGGATCCTTTAAAATGTAATAAGTGATCACAGTTATGTAATATTTGTAGTACATTATAAACCTAGATATGTTTTCAATCTCCCAATACGCATTAAAACATAAACATTTAACTCACAAACTGCAACAACCATTAAGATCACACTGGATATAATAAAAATGACTCTTCACATGCAGTCCATAACATTGTAACATTTAATGTTTGCTCAATTTGTATAACACAAACTGCAACAACCATTAAGATCACACTGGATATAATAAAAATGACTCTTCACATGCAGTCCATAACATTGTAACATTTAATGTTTGCTCAATTTGTATCTAATCAAATAAAACCATAAACCCATGGAGTACTTTACAGTGCTGTTATAGAAAAATCCTATACAGAGAGCCACACATTTAACGTGTAAACGTGTCTAACCATTGCTTGTCCCTCTGAGCTGTTTTACTTTAATTTCAGTGTTGATACTTTTTGGATCCTTTACACATTATTATACCATGCATAGGCCATTTTACCATACCATATTTAATGTCTCCTCTTGATGCAGTCAATCAAAAGAACTGGCAGTAATCAAAGCCTGTACTACCTGGTGTGGAGTGTGTTTTAAGGGGAATTCCTGTAACAAACATCATTATCCTAAAATTGTGTCTTGAGGTGTGTGGTGAGGATAGACACCAGTGTGGGACCACTCAATACACCCACAGGACCAAGGCCACATCTCAGAGACGATTCCTCTTCTCTCCTCACCTGTTTTGAATCACTTCATCTGTTTGGGACATCCCTATTTCTATATATATGCATTTATGGCATTTTTAATGAGAAAATATACTTTGATATGTTTTGCCATTTTATTCAAAGCTATAGTTTACTGGGTTATTATGAATATTGACCAGATTTTATACTTAATGCTTAGAAAGTAAAACGATTCCCTTGACTGCTGGACACCATATGACTTGGTTAACCATACTTTCATTGTGACATACAAATACATTCAACACAGCGTGTCTGGTTCTAACATGATTGTGTTATGAGACATATTTGTAATTCAAGATTGCCCGAAAATGCATGCCTCATCACCAACATTATCAGCTGGAACAGGTGAGAAAAATAAGCAATTATTATAATTACACAACTTATTAATACATTACAAATGTAATGACAAGGAATCTGAAATGTTAAGTCAGGAGGATTTATTGAGGATTTAGAAGTCAGTTTGTCAACAGCTTTTAGAATCACCATCAAGTTTAAAGCGCCATGGACATTTTATTCTTTTAGAGTAAAAAAAACACATTTTAGATGCTTTTGCCCAATACTGGAAATCACAGGTCCTGGTGCCCTGGGGAAGAAACAAAACAAAAGAGATAGTTAGTAAACATTATTCAACTGTAATATGTAATTCTATTAGAGATGGTGATCTGCTCTTTGTTTGCCTTCTCTCCCTTGACTTGTCCAGTATGGACGAACCAACCACAGGTTCAGACACTCACTGGTTTAGCTCAGGGATTCTGAAAGCGTAAGCCCATTCACCAACGACAAGGTGGCAGATCAAGAATGGGACTAAACCACCCACTAAACCAAAACTACAACTAAGCCAAACTTGTTCTACTTACCTGAATTACTATACCATAACTACAATACCATCTAAACTACTAAAACACTATATCTAAACTAACCCTGTTACTACAAAGCACTAAGGAATAAACTAATCCTACACTAGAACTAAACTACACATGAACCAATCAAAACCTAAAATGTAATTTAAACTAAAGCTATATCTAATGTAGTAACAAACTAAACCCATATGTTGGACTAAACTAAACCTAAACTAGAACTAAACTAAGAGAAAGCCTGTAAAACGAAATTAAGTCAAAATATACAGTAGTCTGAGGGAAAGGGTGGGGGTCGTCAGAGGGAGAGAACATAGTCAGAGGAGACAGTCTTACCAGTCCTTTTAAATGTGACAAACACAACACATGAAATCAGAGGTCCAGCCTCAACAAGCACATGTAATAAAACGTATAATAAAAGGCTAAAAACAACCATGATTACAAATTTAACTTAACTTTAAAATCAGGCAAATCCAGGCCTAGCAACAACAACCAGTACAAAAGTGAATTTAATATTCTAAAAAGATCAAAAGACACATGATTACAAATATAATTTAACAATAAAATCAGGCAAATCCAGGCCTAGCAACAACAACAACCAGTAAAAAAGTACTATAAAAGTACTATAAAAGACCCAACAATCCACGTGGAAAGTTGAGCGAGTATGCTTATGGTAAAAAAAAATACATGATTATTAATAAAAATCAAATTCAGAGCGATGTTATGATTAAAATCGATACAAATCTAACTACACTGCTTTAATGTAAACACACTGTTCCTACGGCTTTATTCTAAACGAACACACTATCCCTTCATGGTCGCTGAAGTATGTTGGCACCACAGTGGACTCTAGATCATATTCAGTGGATTTCAGGTACAAGTGATCAATTAAAGTCCCTCTCTCTGTAGTGGGAGATTTGACATATTGAACATAACCTCTTTCCGTCATGAAATTGCAGAGACTTGATGACTTCAATATGTCATCATTAAAATCTCCCATCACTGCCACAGTGGCACTAAACGAGTCGAGCCAGATTAGCAACCGATTCAAGTTATACTTGAACAGAGACATGGGGTATGACGGTGGTCGATAGACAACTGCAACAGTAATTTTGAGCTCTGCAAAATGACTAACCAGACATTCTAAACTGAAATCACGTTCTGTGATCTCATAGTTACAGCTGTCTTTACAGTACAGGCCAACACCACCGTGTTGTTGGGCGCTCAAACTAACTAATGCAGGGTGGTTACTGCCCTGGTACGATACACTACGGGGACGGCTGTTGAAGCTGTAACCATCAATGTGACTGGTTTGAAAGGCTGAATTTACATTTAACCATGTCTCTACCACAGCAATGCAGTTAGGCTGCCAGGGCTGTGTGCACATGACCAAGTCTGACACATGTGAAGCTAACCCATGAACGTTCATGTAAAAGAACGTCAGGACATGTGTCTCCTCTATGGGCCAGGGCACACTTTGGACCATGAAGGGAGGCATGCACTCAATCGCATATCGGATGTTATCATTACAATAAATGGCCTTTTCAGTAAAGTCTTGAATGACAAGACCCTCTAAGCTCCTAACGCGACTTAAGGCCACGTAGGCCTGGCCCGCAGTAAACACTTGTTTCAGGGACACCACTGCTCGATCGACTGTTACGCCTTGTACCTTATGAACTGTACAGGCCCACGCAAGTTTAAGGGGGAACTGTCGCCGCTTCTCGCCTCGTTTGTTGGCTTGCTCTTCTTCTGGCTCTATGCGGGTAGAACCAGTCAGGTCTGCAGGGGTACGCGTCTGCCTCCTCCTCTGCGCGCCTACTCTGTCGTTGTCAAATTTAACATAAATTGCTAAAGGAGGCAGTCGTCTCTGTGGATTCTCTACAATATATGTCACTATACCGCATACCCCATTTACTAGACCGTCTGCTATATCTATGTTTTTACAGAGCATTACACGCGCATTTACTCCCACAATTAACGTCTCCTCCAAATTGGCTAGTTTGGAGTTATGGAGATTACTTTCCAATTCAGTCAATTTCCCCGTCTTTTTATCGTACCCAAAGTCTCGAGCCGCAATGCAAATTGTATCCTGACACACCCTAGTGAGAGTTTTAATGTTGTACTCGTTAACAAATTTGTTCTTGGTGAAAATGTGTAAGACGTCGGGGTCTTCGCCTGTTTCGCACCGTTTTAACACATTTATGTCACTCTCGAGCAGTGGAGTCAGCCTGGAGCGCATCCTAAGCCTGTTCAATAGTTTGGAAAAAGCAGGTTCCTTTTGTCGGACTATAGTTTTTAACTCTGCGATTTTGAATAGGTCAGTGAAGAAATTAACACCTATGTTCTCCTTGTACAGGGCGTGACCTTTGACTGGGGACAATTGAAAGAAGTCCCCAACGACTATAATTGAAACTTTCCCAAATGGAGAGTCACCTGTCTGTTTGATTTGTCGCAACCGACCATGAATGTAGGTAAACAACTTCTGGTCAACCATAGATATCTCATCTATTATCACAAATTGTACATCTATGTACTTAGCGCGCAGTGTGTTAAGCTTTTCTTCTCCCAGAGGCATGTAAGGGAGAGAAACATTGGTCCCAATGCTAAACGTAGTGTGGATGGTAGACGCTTCTAAATTATACGCTGCAATTCCAGTCGGAGCTGTTAATAAAACAGAAACATTATCCGGACTGTGACAAATGGGAGCCAATAATCGAGATAACTCGTACTGAAGCGCTCTAATCAGGTGACTTTTCCCGGTCCCTGCTCCGCCTGTAACAAACAGGTGGATGGGCTCTGGGTTGTTACCGGCTAGCTTATCTAAACACCATTGTCGTGCTTTGTAGAAAATTGACAGTTGTTGCGCATTTAAAGTTTTGATGAGCAAAAGGCCCTCCTGACGACTCATAACGTTAGATTTCTCGATGTTACCGATTTGCTCATTCCTTACAGCCAAGTCTGGAATGGGGTCTTGCTCATGCTCAGAGCCCATCGCCTCTAACATCTCCCTGTACTCCTCCCTCGTCTCCAACCTCTCCGCCTCCTGCTCCGGGCAGAGCAAGCCCCATGCATCCTCCAAGATGTCATCGTCCAGTTGATCTTGGACTTCCTCCAAGTTCTCAGCTGTAAGTTCAAAGCAACGCCTATTTGCATCCACAATTGACTTTACTAAATGTAACGCCCCGTCGCTTAAGGTTACTTCCCCATTTTTATAGAACTGTTCAAACGATTCGTGTGGAAGCGGCTTAAGGTCGTCATCAACACGATACGGCAGGAATAACTGCAGCAGACTCTGATGAAACAACTCTGTGTCTTTAGTCTCAGAAAAGCGCGCATACCGCACTACAGCGGGCTTTGTACGCGTCCTTTTTGTGATGGCGCCTAGACCCTTTTGTAACATTATCGGTTTTTTGCACTTGTCAGATTTATACAGTAATCTGTATTCGGAGACGAATGTCGCGATGCACATGTCGTTAAATGTGTCGTCATTTGGCCTACTTAAGTAGCGCTCGATCGTATTAGTCATCCAAATACTCTCGCCCATTTCATCGTCAATTTCACCTATCGGTCTGCTCATTCGCACTATATTGTTGCCGGTTGGGATAAATGTAACTTGACGCGAAAATTCCTTCAGGTGCATCCCTGTCACGCGGTAAACAGCTTCCTGCGCAGAGACTTCGCGATTGTGCAGATACACGCTGCCTAACTTTTTAAAAGCCTCTTTTGCACTTACATTTCCTTTGGAAGCTTCTTTTTGAGCATTACCAAGGAGCAGACCCATATCCCTCTCTTTCTTGGTAATATAGGAGATTATATAAACTACACAAGCCCACGCATTTTCAACAAACTGAATGTCCATATTGGCATTCCAGCAGCTAAGTAATTTCTTGTTGTAGTTGTTAATCCAGATGTCGCTCACCTCCCTCTTTAAAACGATCCGTCTGTTCCCACCTAAAACGCTGTAAATTTGTTCAAACGTGGACTGTGTTAACCCCAAACAGTCTAACAATTCTGCAGTGCTAAGACCCAGGTTGTTTTCATCAAGAGTGGCATTCTTAAGCGCGGCCATGATTAACTTCGCTTCCTCCTTAGTCACAATAGGAGGCGTTTCTGGATCGAATTCTTGTTTAACGAACGTGCGCATCGAAACTGGGCGAGGAAAGTTGAACCGACACTGTATTTTGCCCTTTTGGCATGTTTTGGCGTGACGTTTAGAATGCTGCTGCACTGAGGTAACTTTTTCTAACAACTCTGGATCTGAGGGGATTTCACACGAAATATATTTGTCAACAAACTGGACAACCTCCTCGTCAGTGTTTACTCCAAGCCTCGGTGCCCCGTCTAGAAAGATGATTATGTGTGCATGGGGACTTCCGCGCTGCTGGAATTCTATACGATAAAAGTAATCTTTAACTTTACCGATGGGCTGCGCTGGTGACATAATCACTTTTTGTAAAAAACAGCGCCAACGAGACTCAAACATGCGAGCCGCTGTGACAGGATTACGACGCAAAAGGTCACATCTCTCAGCCCAATCTAAGTCTTCTGGCTTTCGAGTGCTACCTTCCTGTTTTAAGAGAGTTTTTAGGAGGCTTTTCCATCGCAGATCTGCAGCACTAAAAGAACAAAACCACGTGGGAAGGCCTAACTGACGAATCATGGCAAAAAGATCTTTTTGACAGTTTTGCCAGAACGCAGGGGTGCCTCTTATAGGCGCCAGAAAGCGATAACCGCTATCATACTGCAACATATCCTGTAGCGTTTCCCCACCTGCAGCAGCATTACTAGGATAGGAAATTCCCTTTCTCAAAGCTATTTGCACTTTAGAAACAACTTGCTCAAGTTCCAACATGTACAACGCCATAAAGAGAAACTTTAAGTTCCGCGCAAATCTACCATCAACATGCATAAGTCTATTGATGAAATACCGACACATGGTTAACCTGACAAGTCTCGGAGTATGGAACGTGTTACGTCCAAATGGGAACTCCTTGGGAAAGCACTTTGCTTCATTTTCTTTATCTGACAACAAGCTAACTGGACTATTTCCCTCAGCTGGAGCTAAATTCACCACACCCTTAAAGAAATGGTCTAGAGCTTCCTGTCCGAGATCTACAGGCAATAACGCTGTGTCATGGAATATGCAATGACCCTGTCTATCATGCAAATGCTCGTCATCTAAATCTGCTGGTTCTACCTCCTGCTCTGCGGCTACAACTTCCACATTCAAATCCACTTCCATGTCTGTGGGGACTACTTTTCTGGCAAACTCATTATCCCACAATGTATTAAAATCCATTTCTGCATAATGGGGATTATATTGTTTAAGAAACGCAATGGCCTGCCGTATAAGCTCTGTGTCTACAAACTGATACTCATAATGTCCCTTATATGACAAACTGCGCTTGATTTTCACTGCCAACAAACAACCATCCATGTTACTACGCGGCAACAACTTAACAGACTCCTGAACTCTGGAAGGCACACATGTCACAGGCCCATGGATCCCTCGCTGACCACCTTTGGGCAATGCTAAGACTTGCATGAAGTTAATGTTAGGTGCAACTAAATGTGCTTCTACTGTGTTCAGACATGCAAGTTCAGGTGGAATGTCATCCAAGTCCAACTCATTCCTCCAGCATTCAGATGGCATTTCACCCTTTCTGAGCTTTGAGTTGCATGTGTAGCAGATCCATAAACTACCTCTACAATCTAATAACGAGCACGGTGTGGGACACTCACTATTGCACGCATGTAAATAGGCCTCAGAGATACAGTCATTAGCGATTTTAACGCAATTAGGGTTAGCCATAAAGTCTTCCTTTCTACAAGGTAAGACCTGGCGTCTAAATAAGAGTTTAAAGCACACGCAGCAAACGTACTCTGGGCCGGATTCGACATCTTTCAAAAACTGTTCCTTTACAACAGCGAAGTCTTGGAGATTTTTTTTAGGTTGATTACGTTTCTTTCTAAATGCTACACGAGTTTTCAATGGATTTTTTTTATTGTTACATTTTTTTACTTTTAATTTGGTTTTAGACGATGCATTTTTTTTACTTTTCTTCCTGGAAGCTGCCTTTTTTCCTTCCCGATAATCCTCCCTCTCTCTATAATTTTGTCGACCTCTTTTATTAACGTCTTCTTTATGTTTCTGTTTAAAACCCTCATCGTGTCTATACTTGTGTTTGTTTCTTTGATTAACTTCTTCTCGATGCTTCTGATTAAAATCCTCATCTTCTCTATATCTTGTATTTACTTCATCTTTATGCTTCTGTTTGAAAACCTCATCTTCTCTATATCTTGTATTTACTTCATCTTTATGCTTCTGTTTGAAAACCTCATCGTGTTCATAATTGTGTTGGTTTCTTTGACTAACATCTTTGATGTGTTTCTCTTTAAAGTCCACATCATGATGATACCTGTGTTTGCTACTGTCCCTAGCTGCTTTCCTGACTTTCTTTTGATAAACTATATTACTCTTGTATCGTTTCAAATTCTTTTCTATAATTTCTTGTCGTTTTTCTTTGTATCCTAATTTACGCGTGCCCTTAATTACGTCGCAATTTTGAGTGTAATTGTTCTTCAAGTGTTTTATTTTTTTCTTTTGCAAATGCTTTGACAACGCAAGTCTAACGCTAGTTTCTATGTCTCTATTAGACTCTAGCGGCTGGAGAGCTGCCTTTTTAGGTCTAATGTTATAGGATCCCATTGATTTGTTGATGATTTGGCAGCACTCGTAACAACTATCTTCATTGGGTATTTTAACGCAAATTACATTTTCAAAATGGGAGTTATTAATGTTTTCTAGATAAATGCCATTGTTTGACAAAGGCCTAGTCGTACAACTATATTTCAGCCAATGTCCGTCATGAAATGTAAATATGTCGACGCCCAGATAATCCGCACCCACTTGAATTTCTACCTCTGTCGCCCATTTGTTCGCAGTATGAATCTTTGTAGTATTGAGGTATTGATCAACTGATGAGAAGCCTACGCGCAACAGGGATTTGTATTTTTCAGGGTTATTACGAAGATGTTTGGCAATCGCTCGTCTAATTTTGAGGTGGTATTTTTGGGTGCCACTAATGGCCTGTGAAACCGCGCGAAAGAAACAGTTACCGTCTGCAGCTATTTTGTCATTTTTACATGGCGCCCCTAATGGGCCTCTGGTTTTTGGATCTACTACACAATGTTTCTCAAACTCACCAGCAAACCGTCCACACAAGCCCTTACACTGACTGTCACTAAGTGGATTAAAGAACATTACACTCTGCTCTACACCAGTGCACAACACATCTGAGTCTACATCTGGGAATGGATTCACTTCTGTCTCTAAGTCAATCACTGGAACATCTTCTGCAGCTTCAATGTGCTTTAAATCCCCCTGACTCTCATCTAAAACAACTGTCTCACCAGTAACACACTGTTCCTTACAACCAGCATCAGCCTCCAAGCTAATCACAGCAGTTGGGGATACAGAAGGAACTTCTGCAGACTCTGTGTGCTTTAAACCCTCATTATCGTTAAAACTCACGCCTATAATCTCAAACGGTCTTTCACCATAATATGGACCAAATCTGCAAAAATGTGCATATAGCTTATCCAAACTACTGAAATACAATACTACACTTTTACCATCAGGATGCGGCAACCCACTAGAGCTACGCGCGTGCGAGTCCACCACAGCATAAAAACCGCCCTCTTTAATGATTGCAACTGTATATTCACCGAGCGTAAAAAGACACGTGTGATACTCCGCAAACATCCGTTCAAAAGCACAATCTAAGGTCACACTGAGACCCAGCTCTATGTGTTCACCGGACACAACATTGACATCCCCGTTTAACGACGCGCTGTAATCAAACATGAACCGCTTCCCTTCTATAACCGATTCTGTGGGCAGATCACGAAAAGCCAGCATGGTGTAACCCTCACGCACCGCAAGATACCTACGCTCATTGTACAACCTATCACCAAGTGTCAAAACCCTATCCAAATCCCTCTGCTTCCACGCTAACACACTGGAAACATTGTGCTGTGCTAAGGCCACCAGAGCTATAGCCATACACTGCACGCCTGCATATTCAAACCTACTGTCACTCTGATTAAAACTTCCCATAACAACTGAAGGCACTGGTAGAGACTGTGTAGTGGACTTAGCTTGGATCCCAGGAGCAGAAGCACCCTCCTCTTGGACAGCTGGTGGAATGCTGCTGGTGGAAGGCAGAGGAGGCTGACTGGGTCCAGCTGAAGGGTCGATGGTCAGACGGTCCACAAGGGGAGGGTTGGTCACAAGTCCGTGGTCCATGGTCCGAGGGGCGATGGCAGGAGGGCTGGGCACAGGTGGACAGTCCAAAGTCGGAGGACCAGTCGTCACCAGTGGAGGGCTGGACTCTTTTTGAGCCTACAAAACAATCATTATTATTGTGACAAATTCATTATTATCCAAGTAATATGTTTTGTATATTACTGAATAGAATTTATGTCTAACACAGGATTACAGAAGAGTGAATGTAAAAGAGTGCCCTCTAAAAGTGGATTATGAAAGAGCAGATTCAGTTTGGATAATATAAATCCATTTATTGCACAAAGATCATGATTTTAAAAATAATGATTACAAAAATTATAGAATGCAATGGTATTTCAAAATAGAGCTGTAATAACTATATCAGAATCATTTTTATTGCCACGTAAGTAACAGGAAGTCACAGGCTTGTAAATTGCTTTGGCTCAGTGCAACAGTCAGAGAGAGAGGTAAAGAATAGAGAAGAGTGTAAGGTATAATAGGAATAATAAAATTAGCATATACTTTTACGGTATAAAATTTAAAATAGAGTTATTACAATTACAGTACAATATGCAATATCCATCCATCCATCCATTTTCTACCCTTTAATCCATTTCTGGGTCAGGGGGGTGACAGTCAGAGATGCCACCCAAGTCTCATAGCACCAGCCCCTCACTGACCCTCTGCAGGTGGTGAGTCCACAGGAGGACAGCCGCTCTCTGAGTATGAGCATAGCCTCGATCTTTCAGTGGGGGCTTTGGGCAAAGTGGGGTTAAGTGTCTTGCCCAAGGACACAACGACAGCAGTCATCAGTGGGAGTCGGTGGAGAAGGTGCAGAGGTGGGAATTGAACCCACGACCTTCTGGGCTTAAGGCCAATGCTCTACCAACTGAGCTACTGTCGCCCCTGTACAATATGCAATATATATAGTTATAATGTGTAATAATATAGTTGTAATATATAGACATTTTCAATTGTTATAAAACTATTTTGCACATAATATGCTTCCATGTTTACATATTTATTTCACACAATTGGAGTAAAAACTAGTGAACCTACCAGGTCCAGCAGGTCCTGATCATCCTCCTCCAGACATGTGTCTCGTATGGTGACGCTGGTAGGTATTATCACCTCCGCCAGACCACCGCCATGTGCCTACAATCAATCCAATCCAATCCAATCCACTTTATTTATATAGCACATTTAAACAACAGTTACGTTTCCAAAGTGCTGCACAAAAAAGTATAAAATAAATAACAACTTATCCTTAGCTTCCTGAGACTAAGTCCCATTCTGACACCCGGACTCCCTGGACCTGGGAGACTAAGTCCCAGTCTGACAACCAGTGGACTCCCTGACCCCGGTGGACTAGTCTACAATGACTGCTATACCCAATAAACAATGGATTGGTATTGACAGAGGGCACACACACACACACACACACACACACACACACACACACGCACACGCACACACACACACACACAGATGACAACTAGTATACAAGAGAATAGGTTAAAGCTGGGGTACCTGACCTTAAACAACTAAATATGTATTAAATCTGTCTAGTTTAGTAGCCGCTAGTTTTCCACCTCCAGTATAATCTTCATCTGTCACTATCCTTCACATCACATCAACTTTTAAGACAGAGAAGTGAAGGCGAGCAAAACCACACCACAGCCCTGTTGAGTCAAAAAGTGACTCCCAGGGCTCTTTCTACAACAACATTTTACTTTTACAAACTCCCTGTAATGGAGCATAAACAACACAAGTCAGAGGTCTCAGCTTTTCTTCAGTTTTTAAAGGGTAAGATGTTTAAATATTTGACTTTTATACTGTGATTTATGTGTTTTCCCTTCAGTTGTAAAAGTGGCTCCATCTTGAGATGAGGTCAAATCGATGTTTGCAGCGGAGGAGATAAAAAGCGGTGACACTGAGCGGTACCAGCTCAGAACAGCCATTCTCAAAGTGGGGGCGGCTACACTAAGCTGAAGCAGAGACCAATAAGAACCCAAGAGATGGAGATGGATCTTCAAAAGCCTTTTTACTGCATTTGAACCAGATCCTGGTTCCAATCTCAGAAGCAAAAGAAGCAGAAGTCAAATTGATTATTCTTCACCGATATACACCATACAGGCTGTTTTTCGGGGGGTAATCAGTATTGCCTGATTTGTGTGTTTTTCTTTCAGTCAAATATGAATCTTGTTTGAGATCACAGGTGGAAACAACAACCAATTAAAGCCGCAAGCGGCATCTACCGGCCCTCGCCGCACCACGCACCGAGGGTGGGCGCTGTACTCGCAGCCATTTCCTACCGCCCTGATGGGAGCGAACACTGGGCCTTTTGAGTTCCCAATGAGCATGATTTTGTGTCTCTACTGAATAGATAAACCTCTTTCTCCCCATGTAACACTTGAATCATTCTGTAGGGGGCGCTTATTGCTGCATTTCATGAATCCCACTTTCAGAGTTTACCCCCAAACCCGAGAGTTGAACAATCAATACCAAATTTTGTGCAAATCAGACTTTGTAATGTGCAAATGGTGGCATATAATGTTGTACAACAAGCGCCCCCTACAATTTTCAATGTATAATTCTTATTACCAAAGAACACCAAAATAATACCACTTGAATGCATGAAAAAAGTTGTGCAAAGTTTGGTGAGTTTTTTTGTGCATGTTCAAGATGGGTCAATTGAGATCAATGACAGAAAAACATAAATACCTTTATCCCCATGTAAACCTTTACTCCGCCTGAATGGGGCGCTAATGGGCCAATGTCATTGTTTCACACGTCATGTGGACCTAGGCCAGGAGTTGAACAACAAAGACAAGTTTAGTGCTGATTTTGTAAATGTGCTCCTGTTTGTACATACAATCTGAGAGTGTGTCCATACCAGTCTCCATGGATAACATTGAGGAACTTCACACCTCTCTATGAAAAGAACACACTTTTGGGGGTCTGTCACGCTGAGACCGATTTGAGCTAATTAAAACTCTATATGCAACTATTGATGGTCCTGTGTGGACACATGTGAGCATTTTTCAGACAAATTAGGGAAACGGCTGTGCTGGTTTTGATGTTTGAGCGAGGTGTACATTTCAGGAGATTTAAACGATTTTCTCATAGACACAGACAGGGGAGTGTTGGTCGTCGCCACGAAACAGGGTAAAAAATACATCAATATTGTCATTGACTTTTTGAATCCAGATGGACAAAACAGAATTAAGTGCCAAATTTCAAACATTTTGACCAAACTAAATTTTAAAAAGCCCATTAAAACTTTAACATAGTCTGTAGGGGCGCTAATCGAGCCAATTTCATATATCCCATCTTTCAGATGATCCATAGACCCCTGGATGCTGAACAATGGATTAAAATTTGGTGCAAATCCGGCTTTGTTTTAGTGTTGCAAATGGAGAGCAAATTTAACTTTTGTGTGTCAAAAATCCCCCAAAAAATGTCACATTTTTGCCGCTCCGCTGCTCGGACAAAAAAAACAACGATTTAATTGATTCCAAATTCCTATATACAATAATAGATTGGGACATGGGTTTAGACCATGATTGAGCGATTTTGAGACAAATCGTGAAAGCCGGGGGCTGGCCGAGGGAGGAGATAATTTCGCGAGCCACATGTGTGAAAAAGATTTTTTATTTTATTTCAATTTTCATTTTTTCCATTTCCAAATTAATTAATGAGCTTCCTGTTTGTACAGGGGGCGAGCTCATAATAACTTTTTTTTCATGGGTCTTGACCTGCAGGAACATGTGCACCAGAATTTTGTGCTCAGCGACAAACTTGACCTCGCGAACGCCCCCTCCCCATAGGCGCAATGTAAACTGACCTTTGTAGGGGGCGCAGTTCGGATTCATTTTTTTAGTCCCATAAAATAAACACCAAAAAAATTAATTTTCACCGGTTTCATGAATTTTTGGGCAAATTTCACGAACATTTCATCAATGTTCAGGGGTCAAATTAAGGTTCAAAGTGCAAGAAGAAAAAAAGAAATAATAAATAAATAAGGAATTTTTTTTGAAATCTTCGAGCAAAAACAATAAAGGTTTCCATAGTAACCATAATACAAATGATACGGTCCGTTTTTAAAGCGAACGACCAGACGAACGCAACTATTGGGTTCTCGGTGAATGAACGAGCGCTAACGCGCCGCAATCACCCTCGCCATCATGAGTCACCCACCCCCCCCATAGAACCCCATTGATTACACTGTGTAGTAGCAGGAGCAAATCCATTCATTGCCTCCGGCACTGTTTGTCAGTGTCTGGCACGCGCCGTCGGTCAGTGGGGTACGAATGTCCGGGCTTCGCCCGGGACATTCCGTCCGTAAAACAGTTTTGAAGGAACCCCCCCTTTAATAGGACTTCAATCATTTCACTGTGTACTAACAGCAGAACAAAGCCATTCCGTGCCTCCGGCACGGATTTATCAGTGCTTGGGACGTGCCCGTCGCGTGGCAGGTCACAATCTCCGGGCTGCGCCCGGGATTGAGGACTTAAAACAGTTCAACGAGTTATATGCCTGGGCGAAGCCCAGGCATTACCGTTGAACTGTTTATGTCACAATCTCCGGCGCAGCCCTGAGATAGTGACCTGCACCGACGGCACGTGCCCAAGCACTGATAAATCCGTGGCCGGAGGCACGGAATGGCTTTTTCCTGCTGTAGTACACAGTGAAAAGATTGAAGTCACAATTAAAGAGGGGGTTCCTTCAACTGTTTTACGGACGAATGTCCGGGCGAAGCCCGGACATTCGTCCCCCAAGCCCGACGGCGCGTGCCCAGACACTGACAAAACAGTGCCGGAGCACTGAATGGCATTGCACCTTCACAACACAGTGTAATCAATGGGGTCCTATGGGGGGGGTGGAGACTCATTGATGGCCGAGGAGATTGACGACGCTTTAGCGCTCGTCAATCACCGAGAAACCCAATAGTTGCGTTCGTCTGGTCGTTCGCTTAAAACACGTATCATTTGTATTATAGGTAACTCAAGGACAACCTATATTGGTTTTTGCTCGAGAGATTCAAAAAAAATTCCTTATTTATTTAATATTTCTTTTTTTCTTCTGCAACTTTGAACTTAAATTTGACCCCACTGAACATTGATGAAAAGTTGTGAAATTTTGCCCAAAATTCAGAACCGTGAAAAATTAATGACTAACCAGACCCTCTCTGGATTAGCTTCAGAGGTCTGAGGGATCTGGCTTTCAGATACCGGTGAGGCCACATTAACTGTACTTGCATGTAATCATGCGGCCGCATTTTCTCCGGTCTTTCTGGTCTATCTCTGGGACCAGAGTCAGAGACTGGGACCAGAGCCAGAGACTGGGACCAGAGCCAGAGACTGGGACCAGAGCCAGAGACTGGGACCAGAGTCAGAGACTGGGACCAGAGTCAGAGACTGGGACCAGAGCCAGAGACTGGGACCAGAGTCAGAGACTGGGACCAGAGCCAGAGACTGGGACCAGAGTCAGAGACTGGGACCAGAGTCAGAGACTGGGACCAGAGTCAGAGACTGGGACCAGAGCCAGAGACTGGGACCAGAGTCAGAGACTGGGACCAGAGTCAGAGACTGGGACCAGAGCCAGAGACTGGGACCAGAGCCAGAGACTGGGACCAGAGTCAGAGACTGGGACCAGAGTCAGAGACTGGGACCAGAGTCAGAGACTGGGACCAGAGTCAGAGACTGGGACCAGAGTCAGAGACTGGGACCAGAGTCAGAGACTGGGACCAGAGCCAGAGACTGGGACCAGAGCCAGAGACTGGGACCAGAGTCAGAGACTGGGACCAGAGTCAGAGACTGGGACCAGAGTCAGAGACTGGGACCAGAGTCAGAGACTGGGACCAGAGTCAGAGACTGGGACCAGAGTCAGAGACTGGGACCAGAGCCAGAGACTGGTCTTACGGTCGCTAACAGGCCGTAGAGCCTTCCTCTCCGGTGGGAGCGGCGCTCATTGGTGCGTCACAGACAGAGCTGCACCTTTAAAGCTCGTGCACATGCCAGACATTCTTGTTGCTCATCCTGCTCCCATCCTGCCACCTGCCCCGCCTCCTTAGGTTTAGTTTGCTCTGGTTTGGTTTGGTTAGCTTTGGTTTGGTTTAGTTTGTGGTATATTTTCTACACACCATTCACCACTGCAGACTCTCACAGCACATACACCGCACACACTCACTACACACTTCAAACCTCATTAAAACATTCACTTTGGTTATTCATAAATATTATTTCAATTGAAACTGTTGTTTAGAGAGTTTCTGTCATTTCTACGGAGGAGATATTTACACCCAGATCTAGCACACGGCAACGGACCCACACAATCTGTTCATAAATATTCAAATGGCTCACTTACAGCTGGAATAGGCTGCAGTGGTGCTGGGGCTAGTGCCCTTTTTCCTGTCAACATGTGTGACAAGTCTTAACAAACGCCGACACATCTCTATTCACCCGCGGCCAAAGAAATGCTTGAGAAGACTCAGATATGTTTTACGAACGCCAAAGTGACCAGAATTATTGTGCGCCACCTCAAGAACGAAACTTTGCTGGAACTACAACTTGGAACATGGCATCGTGCTCACGGTCCCCACAAACATGTACTTTCTGAACAGCACATCCTTCTGAACAGAACATCCATTTGCCAAACTCTCTATCTGTGCCTCGTCATTCATTCATTCATATTCTAACCCTTTATTAGTCCATCTCTGGGTCGGGGGGTGGTAATGAGAGCTGCCCTCAATGCTCATAGCACCAGTCCCTCTGATCCTCTGCAGGGGGTGGGTCCACAGGAAGATGGCTGCTACATCAGTGCCACAGCCTCGGTGTTTCAGCGGGAGCTTCAGACAATGTGGGGTTAAGTGTCTTGCCCAAGGACACAGCGACAGTAGACATTAGTGGGAGCAGAGTTTTGTGCCTCGGAGACAGCCAAATCAAATGAACTTTCCAAAGTCAGACCTTCTTGCTGCGCCCGAACCAACTCAGCGTGGGATACATTTAATGGATATTCTGCCGTGGACAACACAAAATCACTGACTCTGCATCATCTGCAGAATCCGCTTCATGCATGGCCTGCGTCACCGCGCACGCAGGGAACACGTCTGGCTGCGATGACGTAACGCTCTCAGGGACAGTGGGACATAAAGTAACAACAGGTGCAGCACCTCCACAGCCTCAGGATCCACAGTCTCCCCACCACCAGAGTCTGTGTCAGCCCAGACACCACCACCAGAGTCTGTGTCAGCCCAGACACCACCACCAGAGTCTGTGTCAGCCCAGACACCACCACCAGAGTCTGTGTCAGCCCAGACACCACCACCAGAGTCTGTGTCAGCCCAGACACCACCACCAGAGTCTGTGTCAGCCCAGACACCACCACCAGAGTCTGTGTCAGCCCAGACACCACCACCAGAGTCTGTGTCAGCCCAGACACCACCACCAGCCGACCCATTCTCCAAAATGAAATGAATCCTCTCGATGGGCAGCGCTGGTCGCACACCGACAGTGACCTCTCCCCGCACCAGCTCACACTCCAAACTCATCCTGTGTAACGGAACGGACAACACGGCCACGCCCATGCCACGGCTCAGTATGAAGTCCCCTGTGTCCCGGACGAGCCCCATTCTGCCATAACCCGGCTCCGTAGAAATGACAGAAACTCTCTAAACAACAGTTTCAATTGAAATAATATTTATGAATAACCAAAGTGAATGTTTTAATGAGGTTTGAAGTGTGTAGTGAGTGTGTGCGGTGTATGTGCTGTGAGAGTCTGCAGTGGTGAATGGTGTGTAGAAAATATACCACAAACTAAACCAAACCAAAGCTAACCAAACCAAACCAGAGCAAACCAAACCTAAGGAGGCGGGGCAGGTGGCAGGATGGGAGCAGGATGAGCAACAAGAATGTCTGGCATGTGCACGAGCTTTAAAGGTGCAGCTCTGTCTGTGACGCACCAATGAGCGCCGCTCCCACATGGTACATACTTTCTGGTAACCATCACGGACACATCAACACGTCACACATGGTACTTACTTTCTGGTACTAACGCTAACACATCAACACGTCACACATGGTACTTACTTTCTGGTCCCTAACACAGACACATGGTACTTACTTTCTGGTCACTAACACAGACACATGGTACCTATTTTCTGGTCACAGACACATGGTACTTACTTTCTGGTCACTAACACAGACACATGGTACTTACTTTCTGGTCACTAACACAGACACATGGTACTTACTTTCTGGTCACTAACACAGACACATGGTACTTACTTTCTGGTCACTAACACAGACACATGGTACTTACTTTCTGGTCCCTAACACAGACACATGGTACTTACTTTCTGGTCACTAACACAGACACATGGTACTTATTTTCTGGTCACAGACACATGGTACTTACTTTCTGGTCACTAACACAGACACATGGTACTTACTTTCTGGTCACTAACACAGACACATGGTACTTACTTTCTGGTCACTAACACAGACACATGGTACTTACTTTCTGGTCACTAACACAGACACATGGTACTTACTTTCTGGTCACTAACACAGACACATGGTACTTACTTTCTGGTCACTAACACAGACACATGGTACTTACTTTCTGGTCACTAACACAGACACATGGTACTTACTTTCTGGTCACTAACACAGACACATGGTACTTACTTTCTGGTCACTAACACAAACACATGGTACTTACTTTCTGGTCACTAACACAGACACATGGTACTTGCTTTCTGGTCACTAACACAGACACATGGTACTTGCTTTCTGGTCACTAACACAGACACATGGTACTTACTTTCTGGTCACTAACACAGACACATGGTACTTACTTTCTGGTCACAAACAAAGACACATGGTACTTACTTTCTGGTCACTAACACAGACACATGGTACTTACTTTCTGGTCACTAACACAGACACATGGTACTTACTTTCTGGTCACTAACACAGACACATGGTACTTACTTTCTGGTCACTAACACAGACACATGGTACTTACTTTCTGGTCACTAACACAGACACATGGTACTTACTTTCTGGTCACTAACACAGACACATGGTACTTACTTTCTGGTCACTAACACAGACACATGGTACTTACTTTCTGGTCACTAACACAGACACATGGTACTTACTTTCTGGTCACTAACACAGACACATGGTACTTACTTTCTGGTCACTAACACAGACACATGGTACTTACTTTCTGGTCACTAACACAGACACATGGTACTTACTTTCTGGTCACTAACACAGACAGACTGATCCTTATTGTTCCTGAAGAAGTCTCTGTCGTGTTGCTCTGAAACACACAAGACCAAGGAGGAAGTCGTCACAACCGACTCAACTGGTTTGGCAGATTTCTCTATAGTCTCTCTCTGGTTTCTAAATCTGGAGTCTTCCTGGTCTCTCCCTCTGATCGCTCTCTGGTCCCTCTCTTTCTGTTCTCTTTCTACTTTCTATATTTGGAGTCTCTCTCTGGTCTCTCTCCGGTCGGTCTCTGGTCTCTCTCTTTGGCCTCTCTCTGTTCTCTCTCTGGTCTCTCTGGTCTCTCTCTTGTCTCTCTCTTGTCTCTCTCTGGTCTCTCTCTGATCTCTCTCTGATCTCCCTCTGGTCTCTCTCTGGTCTCTCTCTGGTCCCTCTCTTGTCCATCAGTAAAAGTGTCACTTCCGGTAGCGTCTTTCACCAGTCTCTGGTCTCTCTCGGGTCCCTTTCTGGTTTCTCTCTCTGGTCTTTCTCTCTGGTCTCTCTCTGGTCTCTCTCTGGTCTCTCTATGGTCTTTCTCTGCTCTCTCTCTGATCTCTCTCTCTGGTCTCTCTCTGGTCTCTCTCTCTGGTCTCTCTCTGATCTCTCTCTCTGGTCTCTCTCTGGTCTCTCTCTGGTCTCTCTCTGGTAACAATAATAATAATAATACATTTTATTTAAACACGCCTTTCTAAACACCCAAGGACACTGTACAGGCATCATAAAAACATTAAAAACAGGAGCAACAGAATAAAACAGTAGTCAAGTGCATTATGGGATGGGGTAGGACAGTCTGAACAGATGGGTTTTGAGTCTGGATTTGAAGAGTGGAAGAGAGTCAATGGTACGGAGGTCAGTGTGGCTGAAGGCTCTGTGTCCCACAGGGATGAGTCTGGCTGGGGGGACGGAGAGTGTGAGGGTGGAGGAGGAGCGGAGTGTGCGGGCAGGAGTGGCAGGGTGGAGGAGGAGCAGGAGTGGCAGGGTGGAGGAGGAGCAGGAGTGGCAGGGTGGAGGAGGAGCAGAAGTGGTAGGGTGGAGGATGAGCAGGAGTGGCAGGGTGGAGGAGGAGCAGGAGTGACAGGGTGGAGGAGGAGCAGGAGTGACAGGGTGGAGGAGGAGCAGGAGTGACAGGGTGGAGGAGGAGCAGGAGTGACAGGGTGGAGGAGGAGCAGGAGTGGCAGGGTGGAGGAGGAGCAGGAGTGGCAGAGTGGAGGAAGAGCACAAGTGACAGGGTGGAGGAGGAGCAGGAGTGGCAGGGTGGAGGAGGAGCAGGAGTGACAGGGTGGAGGAGGAGCAGGAGTGACAGGGTGGAGGAGGAGCAGGAGTGGCAGTGTGGAGGAGGAGCAGAAGTGGCAGGGTGGAGGAGGAGCAGGAGTGACAGGGTGGAGGAGGAGCAGGAGTGACAGGGTGGAGGACGAGAAGGAGTGGCAGGGTGGAGGAGGAGCAGAAGTGACAGGGTGGAGGAGGAGCAGGAGTGACAGGGTGGAGGAGGAGCAGGAGTGACAGGGTGGAGGTGGAGCAGGAGTGACAGGGTGAAGGAGGAGCAGGAGTGACAGGGTGGAGGAGGAGCAGGAGTGACAGGGTGGAGGAGGAGTGGCAGGGTGGAGGAGGAGCAGGAGTGACAGGATGGAGGAGGAGCAGGAGTGACAGGGTGGAGGAGGAGCAGGAGTGGCAGGGTGGAGGAGGAGCAGGAGTGGCAGGGTGGAGGAGGACCAGGAGTGACAGGGTGGAGGAGGAGCAGGAGTGACAGGGTGGAGGAGGAGCAGGAGTGGCAGAGTGGAGGAAGAGCACAAGTGACAGGGTGGAGGAGGAGCAGAAGTGGCAGGGTGGAGGAGGAGCAGGAGTGACAGGGTGGAGGAGGAGCAGGAGTGACAGGGTGGAGGAGGAGCAGGAGTGGCAGTGTGGAGGAGGAGCAGAAGTGGCAGGGTGGAGGAGGAGCAGGAGTGACAGGGTGGAGGAGGAGCAGGAGTGACAGGGTGGAGGACGAGAAGGAGTGGCAGGGTGGAGGAGGAGCAGAAGTGACAGGGTGGAGGAGGAGCAGGAGTGACAGGGTGGAGGAGGAGCAGGAGTGACAGGGTGGAGGTGGAGCAGGAGTGACAGGGTGAAGGAGGAGCAGGAGTGACAGGGTGGAGGAGGAGCAGGAGTGACAGGGTGGAGGAGGAGTGGCAGGGTGGAGGAGGAGCAGGAGTGGCAGGGTGGAGGAGGAGCAGGAGTGGCAGGGTGGAGGAGGAGCAGGAGTGGCAGGGTGGAGGAGGAGCAGGAGTGGCAGGGTGGAGGAGGAGCAGGAGTGGCAGGGTGGAGGAGGAGCAGGAGTGACAGGGTGGAGGAGGAGCAGGAGTGGCAGGGTGGAGGAGGAGCAGAAGTGGCAGGGTGGAGGTGGAGCAGGAGTGACAGGATGGAGGAGGAGCAGGAGTGACAGGGTGGAGGAGGAGCAGGAGTGGCAGGGTGGAGGAGGAGCAGGAGTGGCAGGATGGAGGAGGACCAGGAGTGACAGGGTGGAGGAGGAGCAGGAGTGACAGGGTGGAGGAGGAGCAGAAGTGGCAGAGTGGAGGAGGAGCAGGAGTGACAGGGTGGAGGAGGAGCAGGAGTGGCAGGGTGGAGGAAGAGCAGGAGTGGCAGGGTGGAGGAGGAGCAGGAGTGGCAGGGTGGAGGAGGAGCAGGAATGGCAGGGTGGAGGAGGAGCAGGAGTGGCAGGGTGGAGGAGGAGCAGGAGTGGCAGGGTGGAGGAGGACCAGGGTGGAGGAGGAGCAGGAGTGGCAGGGTGGAGGAGGAGCAGGAGTGGCAGGGTGGAGGAGGTCAGATAAGTGGAGGAGGAGCAGGTTGTGAAGTGCTCTGAAAGTGGTGAGGAGTCTTTTGAAGTGAATCAGTTGTTTAACAGGAAGCCAGTGGAGTTGTCGGAGTACGGGGGTGATGTGGTCAGCTGTGGGGGTCCGGGGGATGATGCAGCTGCAGAGTTTTGAGGAGCTGCAGTTTCTGGAGGGATTTGTTGGGGAGGCCGAAGAGAAGTGAGTTGCAGTCGTCAATCCTAGAGGTGACGAGGCTGTGGACGAGGATGGAGGTGGTGTGGGGGGTGAGAGAGGGGCGGAGACGAGGGTGGTGTGGGGGGTGAGAGACGGGCGGAGACGAGGGTGGTGTGGGGGGTGAGAGAGGGGCGGAGACAAGGATGGTGTGGGGGGTGAGAGAGGGGCGGAGACGAGGGTGGTGTGGGGGGTGAGAGAGGGGCGGAGACGAGGGTGGTGTGGGGGGTGAGAGAGGGGCGGAGACGAGGGTGGTGTAGGGGGTGAGAGAGGGGCGGAGACGAGGGTGGTGTGGGGGGTGAGAGAGGGGCGGAGACGAGGGTGGTGTGGGGGGTGAGAGAGGGGCGGAGACGAGGGTGGTGTGGGGGGTGAGAGAGGGGCGGAGACGAGGGTGGTGTGGGGGGTGAGAGAGGGGCGGAGACGAGGGTGGTGTAGGGGGTGAGAGAGGGGCGGAGACGAGGGTGGTGTGGGGGGTGAGAGAGGGGCGGAGACGAGGGTGGTGTGGGGGGTGAGAGAGGGGCGGAGACGAGGGTGGTGTGGGGGGTGAGAGAGGGGCGGAGACGAGGGTTGTGTGGGGGGTGAGAGAGGGGCGGAGACGAGGGTGGTGTGGGGGGTGAGAGAGGGGCGGAGACGAGGGTGGTGTGGGGGGTGAGAGAGGGGCGGAGACGAGGGTTGTGTGGGGGGTGAGAGAGGGGCGGAGACGAGGATGGTGTGGGGGGTGAGAGAGGGGCGGAGACGAGGGTGGTGTGGGGGGTGAGAGAGGGGCGGAGACGAGGGTGGTGTGGGGGTGAGAGAGGGGCGGAGACGAGGGTGGTGTGGGGGGTGAGAGAGGGGCGGAGACGAGGGTGGTGTGGGGGGTGAGAGAGGGGCGGAGACGAGGGTGGTGTGGGGGGTGAGAGAGGGGCGGAGACGAGGGTGGTGTGGGGGGTGAGAGAGGGGCGGAGGCGAGAGTGGTGTGGGGGGTGAGAGAGGGGCGCAGACGAGGGTGGTGTGGGGGGTGAGAGAGGGGCGGAGACGAGGGTGGTGTGGGGGGTGAGAGAGGGGCGGAGACGAGGGTGGTGGTGGTGTGGGGGGTGAGAGAGGGGCGGAGGCGAGGGTGGTGTGGGGGGTGAGAGAGGGGCGGAGACGAGGGTGGTGTGGGGGGTGAGAGAGGGGCGGAGACGAGGATGGTGTGGGGGGTGAGAGAGAGGGCGGAGACGAGGGTGGTGTGGGGGGTGAGAGAGGGGCGGAGACAAGGATGGTGTGGGGGGTGAGAGAGGGGCGGAGACGAGGGTGGTGTGGGGGGTGAGAGAGGGGCGGAGACGAGGGTGGTGTGGGGGGTGAGAGAGGGGCGGAGACGAGGGTGGTGTGGGGGGTGAGAGAGGGGCGGAGACGAGGGTGGTGTGGGGGGTGAGAGAGGGGCGGAGGCGAGAGTGGTGTGGGGGGTGAGAGAGGGGCGGAGACGAGGGTGGTGGTGGTGTGGGGGGTGAGAGAGGGGCGGAGGCGAGGGTGGTGTGGGGGGTGAGAGAGGGGCGGAGACGAGGGTGGTGTGGGGGGTGAGAGAGGGGCGGAGACGAGGGTGGTGTGGGGGGTGAGAGAGGGGCGGAGACGAGGGTGGTGTGGGGGGTGAGAGAGGGGCGGAGACGAGGGTGGTGTGGGGGGTGAGAGAGGGGCGGAGACGAGGGTGGTGTGGGGGGTGAGAGAGGGGCGGAGACGAGGGTGGTGTGGGGGGTGAGAGAGGGGCGGAGACGAGGATGGTGTGGGGGGTGAGAGAGGGGCGGAGACGAGGGTGGTGTGGGGGGTGAGAGAGGGGCGGAGACGAGGGTGGTGTGGGGGGTGAGAGAGGGGCGGAGACGAGGATGGTGTGGGGGGTGAGAGAGGGGCGGAGACGAGGGTGGTGTGGGGGTGAGAGAGGGGCGGAGACGAGGGTGGTGTGGGGGGTGAGAGAGGGGCGGAGACGAGGATGGTGTGGGGGGTGAGAGAGGGGCGGAGACGAGGGTGGTGTGGGGGGTGAGAGAGGGGCGGAGACGAGGATGGTGTGGGGGGTGAGAGAGGGGGCGGAGACGAGACATATTGCGCAGGTGGAAGTAGGCGGACCGAGAGATATTATTGATGTGAGATTGGAAGGAGAGTGAACTGTCGAGGATGACACCCAGACTCTTGACCTGAGGGGAGGGGAGGACAGATGTGTTATGGATGGAGAGGGGAGGGGAGGACAGATGTGTTATGGATGGAGAGGGGAGGGGAGGACAGATGTGTTATGGATGGAGAGGGGAGGGGAGGACAGATGTGTTATGGATAGAGAGGGGAGGACAGATGTGTTATGGATGGAGAGGGGAGGGGAGGACAGATGTGTTATGGATGGAGAGGCGAGGGGAGGACAGATGTGTTATGGATGGAGAGGGGAGGGGAGGACAGATGTGTTATGGATGGAGAGGGGAGGGGAGGACAGATGTGTTATGGATGGAGAGGGGAGGGGAGGACAGATGTGTTATGGATGGAGAGGGGAGGGGAGGACAGATGTGTTATGGATGGAGAGGGGAGGGGAGGACAGATGTGTTATGGATGGAGAGGGGAGGGGAGGACAGATGTGTTATGGATGGAGAGGGGAGGGGAGGACAGATGTGTTATGGATGGAGAGGGGAGGGGAGGACAGATGTGTTATGGATGGAGAGGGGAGGGGAGGACAGATGTGTTATGGATGGAGAGGGGAGGGGAGGACAGATGTGTTATGGATGGAGAGGGGAGGGGAGGACAGATGTGTTATGGATGGAGAGAGGAGGGGAGGACAGATGTGTTATGGATGGAGAGGGGAGGGGAGGACAGATGTGTTATGGATGGAGACAGAGAAGCTGTTAGATTTGGAGAGAGTGGAGGGGGTGCCCACGAGAAGGACTTCAGTTTTAGAGCTGTTGAGTTTGAGAAAGTTGGAAGAGAACCAGGAATTAATTTCTGGTCTCTCTCTGGTCTCTCTCTCTGGTCTCTCTGGTCTCTCTCTCTGGTCTCTCTCTGGTCTCTCTCTCTGGTCTCTCTCTCTGGTCTCTCTCTGGTCTCTCTCTCTGGTCTCTCTCTCTGGTCTCTCTCTCTGGTCTCTCTCTGGTCTCTCTCTGGTCTTTCTCTGGTCTCTCTCTGGTCTCTCTCTGGTCTCTCTCTGGTCTCTTTCTTGTCTCTCTCTGGTCTCTCTCTGGTCCATCAGTAAAAGTCTCACTTCCTGTAATAACAGAGAGGCCACGCCCCCCTGTCCCCTCACTGTGAACTGTAAAAATCTCTGTAAAAACGACGCTGAAAACATCTGAAAACTACAAATCTCACGACTTTAGTGGAAATGAACAACGTCAAACACCAAAGGGAGGAAAAAGGGATTGAAGCAAACCATGAAGCGACCGCCACGGCATCAAGAGACCAGGAGTTTCAAGAGTCACAACCGGGCTCCAACCAAATTCTAAAAGCAATCACGGATTTAAAGTTGGACAAAGTGGGTCTGAGGACTGATTTTACAGCTAAAACTGATCATGTCCTGTCAGTGGTCCAAGGGATAAGAACCCATCTAGATGAGAGCTTTAAGAGGCTGACGCAAGCAACGAATCTCTCATCATGAAAACACAGTAGGAACCCTCAAAACTACGGTTAACAAACTCCAAAGCCAAATAAAGACGTCACCTCTAAAGTGGACCATCAAGAAACCAGGAGCCGGAGATCCAACTTGAGGCTGAAAGGTCTTCCCGAGGGAGCGGAGGGAGCGGATCCGTGTGGATTCATGGAAAGGTGCCTGGCCGAGGTTCTGGAGCTGGGACCGCGACGAACCCCACTTATCATGGAGCGCTGCCATCGGCTTCCCAGCTCTGTCAGCTTCATCGACAAGGAGAGGCCTCCACGTCCCGTCATCATGAAGTGTTTAAACTTCCAAGATAAAACGCTGGTCCAAATCGTTGCCAGGAAGAAGGGAAAGCCCTCTATAAATCCAGGCAGGTGATGTTCTTCCCGGACGTGTCGCCTGAAGTCCATAGATTGCAGCAGGATTACAGCGAGGTCAAGAAGATCCTCCGAGCTAAAAATGTTGGATACAGAATCATATATCCAGCCCGTCTCCCAGTGACCTGTGGTGGTCGCACGCATCTGTTGGAAACGCCAGCTCAAGTCGCTCAATTCATACGTGGGATGGAGAAAAGTGACAACGATTCACCAAAAGATGAGTAAATACATGTATTTTAACTGTGGCTTATTTAAGTATACTGCCACCTGGTGGACAGGGTTTGCACATTGGTTTGAGTTACTGTCTTATAAACTGAGCAAAATGCTGCTGCTTCATAATTAACAAATGAATACTTGCAGAGTATATGAGATTATTTTATTGTTTATTCTTGACTCTTAAAGGTTTATTGTTTTATTTGTCCTTCCGTCCAGTAACATCAGTTTAATGTGATCTTCTAGTTCCACTGTTTCTACTTTCCTTCATAGCGGGTGACAGGGAAAAGGCGTTTGAGAGGGTGTGGTCTGTTCATGTCTTGGATGTTCTTGTTGCTGTGTGCGTGTCTGTCTGGTATGTATGGGGCCTATTCTTTGACCATTCACTCTCCTCCTTTAAGCATGTTCCTCAAATCATATAAGATCTACACTTCTAATAGTGACAGCTCCTCTGAAACTGAGGAAAACTATTTGAGCCTAAACTCTGCAACTTGGAGCCAAGAATCAATTTCTCCGACTATTTCAATGATAAAACACAAAGGAACATGGATGAAACTGATCCAGATAGAAGTTTATTAGATTAAGTATGTTTGGCGCCCTAGGCCCAGGAGAGATGCTGTTGAGCGCGGCACTTGCTCGCACGCATAATCCCCCCCGGGCCTAGTCACTGGTGGCGGCAGAGGCAGTAGGCAAGCACGCTTCGATGAGAAAAGGAGGAGGTGGGGCGGCGGAGGCTTGCAGACTTCAGAAGGCCGGGAAGTGGGCGTCTCCGGCTTTTAACTTGCTGTCCTGGTGGTTATTGGATGTGGGCGTTGCTGGTATGATGAGCAGGCTTGTAGATCTGGGCGGCAGCGGCCGGGTCTACCACAGTGAACTTTCGCGAAAGCTCCATTTCACCTTGGAGAGACCCACGAGGGAAAATGCAGTTAGAAGTTATTAGATTAAGCATGTTTGGCGCCCTAGGCCCGGGAGAGATGCTGTTGAGCGTGGCGCTTGCTCGCGCGCATAATCCCCCAAAAAGCGGGCCTGCGATGGGATAGCAGGACGCACTGCGCAGGCCTGAGAGCATGAGTGCGAGGCTTCTCGCACGGTCGCTCAGCCAGGCTGCGTCCGCTGGGCATCTTTGAGCGCTGAGAACATGAGCGCTCGCATCATGTTCAGCCAGACGCTGTAGCAGGGTTATCTTTGAGCGATCTGAGAACATGAGCGCTCGCATCATGTTCAGCCAGACGCTGTAGCAGGGTTATCTTTGAGCGACTGAGAACGTGAGCGCTCGCATCACGTTCAGCCAGACGCTGTAGCAGGGTTATCTTTGAGCGCTGAGAACGTGAGCGCTTGCATCACGTTCAGCCAGACGCTGTAGCAGGGTTATCTTTGAGCGCTGAGAACGTGAGCGCTCGCATCACGTTCAGCCAGACGCTGTAGCTGGGTTATCTTTGAGCGACTGAGAACGTGAGCGCTTGCATCACGTTCAGCCAGACGCTGTAGCAGGGTTATCTTTGAGCGACTGAGAACGTGAGCGCTCGCATCACGTTCAGCCAGACGCTGTAGCAGGGTTATCTTTGAGCGTTTGAGGAGAGTGCGTGCCGCCACCAGAATCTTATTGCTTTACTTACTTTGCTTTGCATTGCTTTGCTGGGAGCTTACGAGGAAGCCAGTAGACGTTGTGCTGCCAGGATAGCAGACGCACCTGGCCTGATGTAGGTGGAGAAGCCGAAGAGGACCAGCGCCCCAGCTGTTGCAGAGAAGAGTGGGGGAGCCTCAGCGAGGCCGCGCCTATCCTGAAGGAGTGGGCTGTATAGAGCTGGGGAGACAAATTACAGAGGAGCAGTAGGGATCTTAGCTGAGCTCTGAACCAGGTTGCTGTCATGGGAAGGTTGTCTGGAGTGAGAAATAGAGGTCCGTTAAAATCTCCTTTTTGCAGCGGAGGCGAGTGTAACGCATCATGGACCTGTAGGGGCAGAGAGATGTGTTGGAGCGAGCTATTATTATGTTGCAGGCGCCTTTGATCTTTGAATGTTTGAGATGAAGGTTGAAATGGTCAGGGGACATTATGTTGGGTGAAGAAGAGCGACCTTTGTTTAATGCTTCCACTGCGTCGAGATTATCACACATGACAGAGATCCTCTTTCTCTGCCACGTGTGATTCCACAGCGCGCAGGCCACGACCACTGGGAATATCTCGTGTAGGGCAGAGGAGATGCTCCGGTGGAAAAGTAGCGGGCCACGGCCCGGCGAACCACTGGTCCTGGAAGAACCCCCCAAAACCCACGGAAGGGGCAGCGTCCGTGTAGAAGCGGAGACCTGTAGGGGCAGAGAGACATATCGGAGAGGGCCATTGATGTTGCAGGCGCCCTTACGCTTAGAATCTTGGGTTGGAGAGTAGATAATTAGGATAGTAGGATGGTCGGGAAAAGCCGTGTCTCGGATCGCATTGAAGGTTGAGTGAGCAGTAGTGAACTCGCTTATGCAGAGAAGCCATAGAAGGCGAGCAGGAAGATGCTGCGAGGAGGGCAGACATGTACTTGGAAGATGAGCCGGAGTTCAGTGCCGCTCAGAGCTGCTGCAGGATGGGCAGCATGATGGGGAGCCTGCGATCAGAAGAGTGAAGAATACAGGTATGGATTCCTTTGATTAGGAGTTCGATTGACAGCTCAGCGCAGCTACTCGGCCAGCTGCATCTGATAGAATCAGAAGATTAAGTAGAGAGATGAAGCATGACTGCCGAAGCGACCCTGAGAGCATAGGTGCGAGTCCAGCGCAGCGCGGCATACTCAGCCGGGCTGCATCCATTAGAAGCAGGATAAGCTTCTGAGAGAGTGGGTTGCAGCAGTAGCAGTAGCAGCAGCGGCAGCAGCAGCAGTATCCTTAGATAATAACAGCAATAATCCTGTATCAAAGCCACAGCAGCAGCAGCAGTAGCAGCAGCAGCAGTAGCAGCAGTAGCAGCAGCAGCAGCAGCAGTATCCTTAGATAATAA